GTTCAGCAAAGGACAGTCGAAAGGGCTCATGTTTCTCTAATGCTTTCTTGAGCTCCAATGCCGTTTTGGGGAGACAGGTTTTAGTGGCTTTTCATTTTCATATCTCTATGTTCACAAATCTTTTGTTCTTTAATGTACCAAACTATACAAAGGTTGGAAACATGAACACAATAGAAAATAGCACATTTACAAATGAACTTGACCTAAACTATTCCAGATGCACGGATATTTACATGGTTTCTTATTATTGAAGTGCTCAGATGGATTCTGGTTTAAGGAGGGCAAGGTATAGGCATACAAATTTAGGATATTCTTTCAGTGCATAGACAAATGCAATATACTCTCTGTAACCCGGCAAATCTCATTTAAATTATCTTCTCTACTTCACTGGTGGTATATGATGCAGTGATTGATATGCCTGATAAAGACCTTCAGTGATAACCCATGACTTCTGAGCTGTTGAAGAAAGAATATATGTCTAAACTAGCTGTGGTGATGAATGAATGGATGAGGCAGGAGGATAACAAGTTCAAATCTTGCCTGGGCAACATAGTGAAATCCTATCTCAAAATAAAATAAGTAGATAAAAATTTCAGGGGTTGTGGCTCAGTGTGAAAATCCCACCCCTAGTCACAAAAATAAAATAAAATAAAATAAAATAAAAAAAAAACAAGAGAAAACGTGTCCAAATATCAGGTTATGAATTTTATGCAAATCCTTTGAAAATTGTTATCTAATGTTCCATATATACTTCTGATTTAACTAAGATGTTTGCTCCACAGAATGTCCTAACAGAATCTAAAAACGGAGCAAACACTGGAATTACCATAGTGCTTCTACTATTCCTTCCTGTTGCCTCTGCAGGATCCCAGGGAAAGATTTTGTATGAGAAATAACCCAGCCTTGACCCAGTGCAGAGAAGCAGAATAGCCAAATGACAGAATGGACTTGGTCTTGCCTGAGCTGTGCCCCTGAGTCTATGATAGTGACTATGGAGCACTAGCATGAAACCAACAAGGGTGCTATGCAGAGGCCAGTCATTGCATGCAGGAAAACTGGATCTATAAAATATTCAGTGTGTGCATAAAGCATGAAGGATTTTGAAGGAAGGACAATATAGTACAAATTTTGGGTTAAAACTGCTTAGGTTCAAATGCTTCTGACTCTACCACCTACTAGTTTCATAAGTTTAAGTTTACCTCTCTGAACTTTTTGCTTATCTGTAAAATGAGAATAGTAATTCAAAGGATTAATGTCAAAATTAAATGACAAAGCAGGACAAAGGAAGGGCATCCTAATTCTTGGTAAATAATGTCTATTATTATTGAAGTTTATGTCTTAAGGCTTGTGAGTAAATACCAGAAAAAATGATTGTCTTGTTGGGTAATTGCACAGAGGAGAACCTGAATTTATACAGAACTAAAATAGGAAAACTTTAATATTCAAAATGGAAGAAAGCCATGGTGGAATTATCTTGACTCCTAGAGGATGGGTATGGTGCCATGAACAAAAGTATATTCACATGGCGTTTGATTCATGACCACCGCCTGGACCGGGGCTAACGTGTTATGCGCTGTCTCCTTCAGTCCTTTCAATAACCTTAGCATGTGGACACAATTGCAATCTACCTGCAGTTCATAAATACACAGACTAAGTTTGAGTAATTTTTACCCCTTCAGTCACATGGCTAAGTGTCAGAACTGACATTCAAATCCTAGTTTCCATCCACACTGTAAGCAGAGTGCCACCTGTGACCAAAGTCTGTGTAACCGGCACTCCTTGGGGGTTATTTCTGTAGGAACAAAGGGGGCTGGCAAAAGGTGTCCTAGGGCAGCCTTGCCATTACCACCTAAAGCACAGTTCACCTGGACACCTGTGAGCCAGGTTTATTCAAGACCCTAATCATTGATTGTAACAGTACCTCCTTCATTTTTTAATTAAGATAGATAAAAGTCAGGCACCTAATTGTAATAACAGTCAACCTGTACTATTGGCTTGCTCTGTACAAACCAGTGATTGGTCTCCACAATAACCCATGGAGTGGGCATTATTATTCCCTTATTACAGATAACTAACTGACTCAGGTTAAACAATTTCTCCAAGGCACAGAGCTAGCTGCAAGAATAAGACATACTCTCTTGGAAATGTGAATGTAAGCTGAGGGGTTCTGAAGGATATTTAGGGAGGTAGAAATTACCGGCAAGTGAGAGATTATCTCTGGACTTTCAAACCTGGTTAATTGAGCCCTGAAGACTTCAGGAAGCTAGTTCCTCTAGTGAGGGGTTTTGGGGACAGAGTGCTTGTGAAAACTGTCACAAGGATTTGAATAATAGTGGAAACCAGTCACAAAGAACCTGCCTCCCTCTGAAAAGTTTTTTAACAGTTGAGCAACAACATATTTATAAGAAAAATAAGCTCCTATTCATAGAATTTTCTCTCTGATTTGATGAAATACTCAAAACATTTTCTCAGAAAGGAGAGAGAAAAGCATCTACCAAGAAAAAGAAAACTATGACTTTTTAGGTTGAATTGCAACTGGTTATCCCTGTTATATTTCTTAAAGATTCCTTTAAGTCTTGCCATTTGACAGAGGAAATTATGAAAAGTAACAGTGAAGTTGAAAAGGATAGAATGCAAAAGCTGCTAAGCAAAACTTCCATTTGCCTCCCACAAATTCTCTCTGGGTAGCTCAACTGACAGCATTTTAACTCGCTTTTTTAAGCTCCTTTTAAAAATCCCACCAAACAGATTAGACTCATGTTTAATTATCATAGAAAATATTCAGGCTAAAGGCTGAAGCTGACTTCAAGAAGCCCTTCCGAAATGATTGATGAGAAAGTTATGTTGATTATTGGTCAGGTTTTGACATACGGCTTCACTCTGGGATCTGAAGGAGCTCCAGGAGGAAAGTACAGGTGAGTATAAGAGAAGTTATTCCAGAGTTAGAACTAGGTAGTTCCTCTGTTTGCTTGTAAGATGGCAGAGCGCCTCTATCATTATGAGTTTCAATGGGTAGAGAACCCTCCTACACGCTAGCATTTCTTTTTGTGCCTCTTGCTTAATGTTGATTTTCTTCAGCATTTCCAAGATGAAATGCCTTACCTTTGCCAGTGTGAATTTAAAAACAGGACATCAACATGACACTTAGAAAGCAAACACAGGGCAGTATTTCTATTTCTTAAAATGTGTTCAGTACAGGGTCTCGCTACGCAGCTCAGACTCATAGTGATCCTCTTGTCTCAGCCTCCCCAATGCTGGGATTACAGGTGTATGCCACCACGCTTGGTTTCAGGGCCAGCAGGGCTCGCCCTGGGTTGTGGGACTGGCACAGCATGTGGTACCAGGGATTGAACTTGGATCCTTGCACTTGCCAGGCAGGCATTTATACCACCAAGCTATGTCCCCAGTAGTTTAAACCAGAAACAAGGGCAAAACAGAGGAGGAAATTTTTGGATAGGTATTACTATAACAGAATCATATAATAATGGAAATTACAATTTGTTGAACATAGAGCATGTGCTAGGTTTTGATATATGAGTTACCCTTTAATATAGATGCTGAGCACTCCTAATCAGAAAATGCAAAATAAAACAATGCTCTAAAATAATAAGTTGGAATTTCTTGGTTTTCAGATTTTTGGCTTAGGATGTGCAACTAAGAAAGTGAATACAAATATTCTAAAATCCAGAAAATCTCTGAAATCTGAAACACATGTGATCCAAGCATTTCAGATAAGGAATTCTCAACCTGAAAATAAACTTCATTTTATTCTTGTCTGATACACGAGGAACATAAAATTGGAGAGTTTAAGCAATGCACATAGGCCTGTGGTGCTAATGGGGTCGGTAAATTGAAGTTGGCCCCAACGGGCAGTATGCTATAAAAATCTAGATCTTTGTCTATTTGTGTGATTTGAGACAAGTTATATGACTTCTCTATGTATGTGCTTCCTCACCTCTAAAAAGTAGGTGTAAAAATAGCTATTCTTGCCTACTTTGAAGTCAGGTACCCCAAAATACATTAGTTAAATCAGCACCCCAGAGCCTGTGTCTTCACTATTTCACCCAGGGCCAAATAAAAGCTGCTGTTCAGAGCGCAAATGACAGATTTTGGTCTACAGTTTGGACTTCCCAACTCTTGCCTGTTGCTATTGTACCTCCAGCATTCAATATTTTTGTTGTTGTTATTTTGCTTTAATCTGTACTTTCATCAGTGCTAGCAATTCCTCTCAGAATCTCAAGTGTGATAGAACGAGGCTTTATTTTATTTTTTTTTTTGGCTGGGCAAAGTAGCTTTATTAGAGAAAGCCAGGGCTACATAGCATTTAAGAGTTGGTACTGGGGCCCTTTTTCTTGCCACATGTGGGCATGACATTGACAAAGAGCGGGTTGTACTGCATCTGACACTTGGCCCGGCCTGTCTTCTCCTCCTCTTCCTCCCCCTCCACCTTCCCCTCCCTGCTACCCCTTCCTCTTCCTCCTCTTCGGAGTCTGACCTCTCACATTTCCAACCTGAGCTAGGGAACTGTGGACTTTACCTCCAAGCATGCCACTAGCTACTTCCAGAGTGGAAAGGGCTTCCACTCCACACTGGCCTAACGTGGCTTCAGCCTCCAATGGTTGGCCTGCCAGGAGAATGACTTAATCTTCTGGTGCGATGCCTTCCAGTGACACCACAAGAGCCATGATCTGGGCGACCATCTCCTGGACGGTCACACTTTGAGGGTATGTAGTTCCTGTGTGTGGACAAAGAGCTGCATGTGGACAACTGAACGGCTGAGCCAGTCACAACTACCGCGAGGATGGAGTCCAGATAGGCCGAGGCTTTACCTAGCAGACTATGGCGGACAAAGTAACATGGGAGTTTGCTTTTTCTTTTACTTAAAAAGAGGTTATACTTTGGGTTTTAACTATATTTTAGATAAAAGATATTGGGTAAACTATCATAAAATTTTCTGATTGGCTGCGGGAAGGCGGGCATCTTGAGCGCCTAAGATTAGTACTACTGAAGATGAGGCGATCAGCAGCACCGAGTCAGTTGCATGGAAATTCTTCCAAAAAAGCAAAATTTATACCACCAGGAAGAAGTAATCCAAGTCTGAATGAAGAGATTACAAAACTGAATCTAGATACAAAGGGTGCTGCAAATAATGCCCTTATCCAGTCACAAGAGGATCCTAGAGTATGCAGTTCAAATCTTTGGTGTACTGAAGGAAGCACTAGGGAAAATAATCATAGGAATAATTACAGTGCAAAGTATTGTTTTGAATCATCTTCAATGGCAGTATTAGATCCACCTCATACAGCCCCTAGAGAAATAACAGAATCCAAGGGACAAGAAGAGGAACTTGAGAGCCTCGTTAAATATTTCAGTGTTGTCTGGAGTAAGGCTTTGAAGAAAAAACACAAAAAGTGGGAAGGAGATGCTGTTCTTATTGTGAAAGGGAGGTCATGTATATTAAAAGATTTGGAAGGCAAAGACATTGGGAAAGGTATTGGATATAAATTGAAAGAACTTGAAAAGATTGAAGAGGGCCAAACATTGATGATCGGTGGAAAAGAGATAGAAATCATGGGTATAATCTCTTCAGAGGACTTCAACAGTGGCAGGTGTTTTCAGTTTGGAGGAGGAAGTTCTGCTGTCCCAAGTTCTCAGGCTGCCAGGAAGTGCTTTTCCAAGCCTTTCAGAAGTATTTGTAAACCAAATTCAAAGGAAAATATACAGGATGATTTCCAAAAGTACAAACCACGCCATGACCCATACACACCAAATTCTCTTGTTATGCCAAGACCAGACAAGAATCATCAGTGGATGTTCAATAAAAACTGTTTCCCTCTTGTGGATGTAGTGATAGATCCTCATGTTGTGTATCACCTTCGACCACATCAAAAAGAAGGAATCATATTCCTTTATGAATGTGTAATGGGCATGAGAATGAATGGCAGATATGGAGCTATTCTTGCTGATGAGATGGGTTTAGGGAAGACGTTGCAGTGTATTTCGCTCATCTGGACCCTGCAGTGTCAGGGACCCTATGGAGGCAAGCCAGTGATAAAGAAAACCCTAATTGTTACTCCTGGAAGCTTGGTGAATAACTGGAGGAAAGAATTTAAACAATGGCTAGGAAGTGAAAGGATCAAGATATTTGCTGTTGATCAGGACCACAAAGTTGAAGAATTCATCAAATCTACACTTTATTCCGTTCTTATCATCAGCTATGAAATGTTACTTCGTTCCCTGGATCAAATTAATAATCTAAAATTTGATCTTTTAATCTGTGATGAGGGACATCGTTTGAAGAATAGTGCCATTAAGACAACTACAGCTCTCTTTAGCCTTTCTTGTGAGAAAAGAATAATTCTAACTGGTACTCCAATTCAGAATGATCTGCAGGAATTTTTTGCATTAATTGATTTTGTAAATCCAGGAGTATTAGGCTCTTTGTCATCTTACAGGAAAATATATGAAGAACCCATCGTTATGTCACGAGAGCCTTCTGCTTCTGAGGAAGAGAAGCAGTTAGGAGACAGAAGAGCAGCTGAACTTACTCGTCTTACTGGACTTTTTATCCTTAGAAGAACCCAGGAAGTCATAAATAAATATCTCCCACCTAAAATAGAGAATGTACTCTTTTGCCGACCAGGAACATTACAGATTGAACTTTATAAAAAGCTGTTGAATTCTCAGGCTGTCAGGTTCTGTCTTCAAGGGTCACTGGAAAATAGTCCTCATCTAATATGTATAGGAGCTCTTAAAAAACTGTGCAATCACCCCTGCCTTTTGTTCAACTCCATAAAGGGAAAAGAATGTAGTTCAACTAGTGATGGAAGCGAAGAAAAGAGTCTATATGAAGGCTTACTAAGTGTGTTTCCTGCTGATTACAACTCTCTGGAGTGTACTGAGGACTCAGGAAAGCTACAGGTGCTGTCAAAACTCCTCACTGTTATCCGTGAGCTTCGTCCTACTGAAAAGGTGGTGTTGGTGTCCAACTATACACAGACCTTGAATATTTTGCAAGATGTCTGCAAGCGTTATGGATATGCTTATGCAAGACTTGATGGACAAACACTAATCTCTCAAAGGCAGAAAATTGTTGATGGTTTTAATAGTAAATACTCTTCTGACTTTATTTTTTTGTTAAGTTCAAAAGCTGGTGGTGTAGGACTTAATCTTATTGGAGGATCTCACTTAATTCTGTATGACATTGATTGGAATCCAGCTACTGATATCCAGGCTATGTCTAGAGTATGGAGAGATGGTCAGAAACATGCCGTGCATATTTATAGACTCCTAACCACAGGTACAATAGAAGAAAAGATCTATCAAAGACAGATCAGTAAGCAGGCTTTTGCTGGGGCAGTTGTAGATCTAACCAAGACATCCGAACATATTCAGTTTTCAGTAGAGGAACTTAAAAATTTGTTCACGTTGCATGAAAATTCACATTGTGTTACTCATGACCTCCTTGAATGTGAGTGCAGTGGAGAAGATCACACAGATGATTCTTTGGAAAAAGATGCTGTCACTAGACATTGTCAGCTTGGTCTCGGTCAACACAAATCTAGCTCCTTGAAACCTCTTTCCATGTCACAACTGAAGAAATGGAAGCATTTTTCTGGAGATCATTTAAATCTTATAGATCCTTTTCTTGAAAGAATAAGAGAAAATGTGTCATTCTTTTTTCAGAATATAACCAATCAAGCTACTTGTATATAATGAAGGTTTTTCATGACATTCTCATCTGTTTTAAAAGTTAATACAGTAATTAATGTTTTGAAAATTAAAAGAATTATTTAAATTATGCTTTTTTATTTTTTGGGTGGTAGTACTGGGGATCGAACTACAGATCTTGCACTTGCCAGGCAGGTACTATGCATTTTGTTTTAAAACATTATAATTTTGATACAATAATAAAAATTGAGTTAATTTTCATCAATGTTAAATGTTGGGAATGAACACTGAAGATCTACTTTTGTTATATAAATGCTCCTTAATAATTCATGATTAAAACATTTTATTGAGAAAAAAAAATTTTCTGTTAAATTTGTTTTGTAAATGTGCATAAGTGGTGTATTAATACGGCTTACTGTCTGAACATTCTTAAACACAGGATGTAAGTGAAAAGTAATCTTTACTCTTAGATCCCTTTCAGTGCTATCTGCTGCATCCGGGTCTATAAGTAAATGCAGAGAGTAGTTTTGTCCACCATTTCAGATTGTTTGAGGGGCAATTTATGTTGATATATATGCAGTTGGATCTATTTTTCAAGTTTAAATATAATTGGCATAACAATATTTTTATTTTAATGTCTCCACTGCCAGATGAAATTCAAACATCTTTGTGGCACTAAAGTCTCTCAATTATGTTTTAATAATAATAATGATAATAATAGTTTATTGCTATCTTTTCTTCACTTTATCCTGGTGCCCTGAAAGGTGATCCCTTCTTTAGAAAGAGTCCCCTATATCTCCCGAGTGTGACTTGGTCACTGCCACTCCTATAGATTTACTTCTGTGGGTCTTTAGTCTAGAATATGCATTGTCATCAAAACATACAGGGATGTTTAAATTTTAAAAGTTACTATGATAAAAGGCTCCTTGCCGTTACTTTCTCTCAAGACACTCGGCCTCACTTCCCAGCATGGGTCATCCCGCTGCTCCGGCCACTTCTGGAAGCAGTTCTGGCAGTCCTCTTTCGTGACTGTCTTTGGGGAAGATCCAGACATTGCAGGTGTCAGATCTGGTGAAGAGGTGGAGGAGGACAAGCTGTGCTACGTTTGGGAGGCTTCCCTTCTCTTGGTGGCCCTCAGCGGCAGCAGTCAGGACCTCAGAACATGGCAAGAGTGAAAGGGATAAATGTGTTCAAAGCAATGGGAGTGTTTTGGGTGGGATTAATAGCAATGTGTCATTGTAATAAATTCTTAAAATTTCATCCTTTACCATATGTCAGATCACAGTGTACTTCTGGTTTTCTCCCAGCCTCTACTTGCAACCAGGACCTTGTTTCTTCCGAACCTTCTTAGACCTTCTGACCTGCATGAACTGGGTATTTTGTATTTTATTTAACACTCCGAGGCAGCTGTATTGCACTGTTACTTTTGTATACTTTTGTCCTCAGAGAATAATTCTGTCTTTAGTTTGAAGAATGTGTCTTAAATCACTCTATTCTTGCTACGGTCATTGGAATTGATAATAGCCATCAAGGCATAGTTGATGACTTCAATTGCTTTAAAGGAGTACAGATCATAGAGGTATTTGTGACTAGCACAGACCCTTAGTTGCGTGTAGGTGGAAATCCCATATGGGCCAGCTTCAAGGCTAAAATAAAAGTTTGTTACGACAAAGAAATACAGACGCAGATACCAGAGATGCTACCCCATGGGAGAGGTTGCCCTGGACAAGAGACACCCTTCTATTTATGGGGGCATCTCCTGTTTTCCTGGACTTCTTGCTTTCTCATCTCAAGGAATGCAGCACTGCTCCTTTGACTAGCCATTTGCCTCCTCCCTTTGAATCACCCAGAAATATAGTTGCCTGCTTATTTCTTATCTGGCGACTACTTTATTTACTTATTTTAATTTTTATTCATTTATTATGTATTTAGTACAGGGTCTACAAGGTCTATAGGGTCTCGCTACGTAGATCGGACTCCTAGTGATCTGCCTGTTACAGCCTCCCAAACGCTTGGATTACAGGTACATGCCACCATACCCAGTCTCAATCAGTGTCTCAGCGCACCCCAGAGATGGGGCCAGCACAGCATGCTGGGGACTGAGCCCCAGTTCTTGCATCTGCCTAAGCCAGCGCTTTAGTCTGCTGAGCTATCTGGCCAGCCCTGGAGGCTACTTTAGAGTCCTAAAGGCTCCCCCTGGCTTAGGGCACACCTGGACTGCATAGCCAGGTGCCAGGGTGCAAGTCCATTTCTTTTCTTTCCTTTTTCTTTCTTTTTTTTTTTTTTTTCATTTATGTATTTGTACAGGGTCTCACTACACAGCTTGGACTCACAGTGACCCTTCTGTCTTCAGCCTCCCCAGTGTTGGGGTTATAGGCATGTACCCCCATACCCGGACTCCTTGCAGCTCAGTGTGCCCCAGGGCTGGGGCCAGCACAACATGCAGGTCTGGGATCAAACCCTGGTCCCTGTGCTTGCCAAAGCAGTTGCTTAGTCCTCTGAGCTGTCTCACCAGCCCTTACAAGCCCATTTTTGTAGCTTGCTTGCTTTTTGGCCTTAAGCAAGTGCATTAATTCACTTTAACATCCTATTTGCTGTTTGCCTCAGAGGGTCTTGCAATATTATTCCTGTGGTTCAAGATTATTACCAATTGTGCTGTAGGCAGCTTTTAATACATCAATTGTAGGAAATGTTGAGGAAGAAGTGCCTCTCTGATGGGCATGCCTCGGACATCCACACTGACCAGTGTGAGTCACCAGAGCTATGTTGAGAACTAAACTGATACAACTGGCTCCCTCCATCTCCCAGTTCTACATCTCAGGATTCAATTGACTCTGAATCAAAAATGTTTCAGAAAAGCAATGATGTCCGTGCTGAACACATATTGACTTTTTTGTAATTGTTTTTCTTATATTCCCTAATCAATATAGTAGAACAGCTCTTTATATAAAATTTATGTATATCAGGCAAAGTAACCTAGATTTGATTTGAAGTATATGGGACAATATATTAGATTATATGCAAATACTACATCATTTTATATGAAGAACTTGAGCTTCTACACATGCTGGTGTCTATAAGACCAACTCTTCTCCTGTACTAAGGAACAACTACATATATTTTCAATATTTCTCTGTAAATATCAAGTACTTTTCACTGCTACATTTATCCTTAGGTGAGGACACATTGCCCACATAAATATTAAAATGAGACTGAGTTTGCTGATTGCAGCAAATTGCATGGTCAGACATCAATCACCATTAGTGACTGAGAAGAAATGTGTCGGTTTCAGTGACTATAATTACAAACAAGGTCATGTAACTAAATCTAGTGCAGCTTAGCAGGGACTGTGCTGAACCAATATAACTATGACAAATGAACAAGTTATTAAAATTATTTTTAATTTTTATTTTTATTACAAGGCTTTCAGTATTTGAATGCTAGCTGAACTTGCCAATTTTCATAAATTACTTGTGACAGTGAAAATTGAGATTGTTTTAGACTATAAATAATCACTTAAGGAAACGTGTTTGATTTAATATGTTTACTAAAGCTAGACCTTCCAGCGAGTATACTAGAGAGTCGGTTATTTTTTACACAAAAGCTGTGTCCTAGTAATCCTGCTGCTGCAGAAAACAAGCCAAACACGAAAAGAAATAGCACCAAGGAGATTTAAAAGGCAGTTTATTACACTGGTGGGCTTCTGACTAGGAGCTCCCCTAAAGAGTCAGAGTCCCACCCAGTGATGTTTCAGGGCTTTTAAAGGGAAAGTGAGTGAGGAGGTAGAGAATCAGATCTGGTGTGTGTGATTGGAGGGCTGGGTGACATCAGGTGACATTAGGTGTTGCTGAAGGAGGTTACATATCTCAAGTTTCATTACAAGGCCATTAGTTACATAGACATGAGTTACACAAAGGAAGATGTGTCCCATTATATTTGAAGTTACAGCCGAGGCCATCACTTAGAAAAGCAGCAAAGACAGGAGCTTCTATAAAGGCAGAAGTGTTCTGTTATCAGGTCTGCTGGACTTGTGCTATTGGTATTGTCAGGCAACCTCACCCCAGTCTTTTGTTTAAAATTTTAATTTTCCCCGTCAAAAGTATCAGAGTGATGGGAAGTTCCTTGGACTGTAATTTAGATTTCAATTTTTTTTTTTTTTTCTCCTCGAATGCCTGCAGTACACTTTTGGCTGGCTGGAGTGTTGTGGGGCTTGAACTACAGCAACCTGAGGCTGACAGCTTTGTGGAAGCAGCCACTTAAAGAACTGAGCTAGGGCCAGGCCCCAAAATGCAGAAGGGTTTTTTTTTGGAGTCCCCAGATTGCCTCTAGCGCTGGTCTGGGTTGCCTTGAACATCTGGGAATCGAACCACTGTGCCCAGAGACTGAATGCTTCCTTTAAGCAGGCACTTAAGCAACTGAGCTAATGGGCGGGCCCCCTAGATTTCAATTATTTTATTTATTTGTAGTATTGTGGACTGAATCTAGGGGCTTTGCCCTGAGCTATATTCCTGGCCCTTTTTATTTTTTATTTTGAGACACTGTCTTTCTGAGTTGCTATGCCTGATCTCAAATTTAGGCTCCTCTTTTCTCAGCCCCCCAAGTGCTGGAATTCCAGGTAAGTGTCACCATGCCTGGCTTGGACTGGAATTTAAATATTGATACATGAATGATAAACAGAATACTAGAACTTTTTTTAAAAACTGTATTTGGTAGAGGGTCTTACTACGCAGCTCAGCCTCCTGGTGATCCTCCTGTTTTCAGCCTCCCCAGCACTGGGATTGCAGGCATGTGCCACACGCCCAGTCTGGAACATTTTCTTCTCATGAAAATTTTGAATTCATGTAGTTAAAAAAATATTTCCCTGTAGAATACCTAGAGTATTTTCCCATTGTATACTGCTTTTTGCAGTTAGTACACGTAATGTTTTCAGTAACTACTTATATTCTTGCCTATATTATTCAATAATTAGAAACTTCTGCATTAATTCCTCACATTTATTATGAGAAGCATCCTTCATAGGCTGGTATTCCATTAGAAAAATAAAT